CACACACACACACACACACACACACACACACACACACACACACACACGTGTCGCGTCACTGCTCACGCGTCGCGAACTACATTCCCCAGAAAGCCTCTCATCAAGCGTCTTCTCAGAGCTTCCCAGGGAGAACCTGGGCGAGGGGCGTTTCCGAGGCCGCGGTCTGGGCTCTGGCCAATGATAGCCTAGGGGAGAGGCGTTTCCGGAACCGCCGCGCCAGCGCGTGGTGGCTTCTGGTTTTCGGTTGTTTCTTTGGCAGCTTGCCGTTTTATCGGTGTTGGAGGAGGAACCAAGTTGCCTGGCCGTGGATGGTGCCGGGAGGCTCACCGGGCCTGCGGGAACGGATGCAGGGAAGATTCGAGAGTCGGGGAGATTCCGTCTCCGTGCCCTGTGCACCCCTTGGCCCCAGAGAATGTCCTGACTACCCAAGCCCGGATATCCTTGGCAGTAGGGGGGGCTACCTCGCGGGGATGTCTACAAGGACCTCCTTTGGAGCCCGCCCGGGAGTCGTCGCCCTTGGCGTTGTGTCTGCTTTACAGAGCGGGGGACGGAGGCTCAAAGCCACGCGTTCCGAGCTCATGACCAGCTTGTGGCTGGACTACGGGCGTGATGAGTGAGCCGATCAACTAGTCACGGCTGAAGGATTCTTCCACCCGACCTGACTCGGAGTCCCAGTGTCCTGAGTCCCCGACTGAGCTACAGGCCTCGATGTTCTGGATGATGGAGCGTTCGCAGGTGGGGAGTCTTCATCCCAGAATTCGGTATGTTAAGATGTAGAGGGTACAGACAGAGGGATCTGCGTGTGCAAAGATTCGGAGGTGAGACTGACCTGAGAACATTCAGGAAAATTCTCATTCTTCCACTGCATGAAGAGAGGAGTCCTGCCTCTATTCATTGGCTGAATGTGCTGGGAGTCGTAGAAATTTTTGAATAGAAGCGGGATATCCATTGTCTGGATTTAGGATTTTGAAAGTATCCCAATGAATACCAAGTAAACATACTGAGTGAACACACCGGTGGGAGAGGGGTTGTGGTCAGGGGTTGTGAGGATGCTGCTGCAATATTCTTCCAGACAGTTATGATGATGGCCTGTCCAGGGTAGAAGTAGGAGAGGTGAGAGAAGTGATCAGATTTCGGTTAGATTTTCAAGATGAAGTTAATGGGATTTCCTGCTACATGTGACGAGTGAACGTAAGTGGTGGATAAAAGACCATCCCGAGTGTTTAGGAAGAATGAGATATTGTACATGGAGATGGGAGTTTGGCAAGAGGAGGATATTTTGGGGAAGATTAGCAGTTGGATTTTGTAGATGTGGACTTCTAAGTGGAAGTGACTACGTGCCATGGACACATAGGGAGTTTTGGTTTGTCCTCCGATCTCCAGGTTGCAGTTCACTGGTGGCCTGGACCAAGGAAGGGCCTGAGAATGGCATTTTGGAAGGAGAGTCTTAGGTTGTGGTTGCAGATAAGTGGCCCTGAGGTGAGTGTGGGGTGTCCAGGATAAGGACCAGTGGCCGGGTGGAGGAGATGGGTGCAGAAAAAGAGAAGCACTGTCCAAAGACCAATGGATCCGGGGAGAGGGCACATCCAGGAGGAGGGCCCACCCTTTCAGATATGAGAGGGTAAGCAGGCATGTCAGGGGACAAGGTTGGGAGACATAAAGGGAGGTGGCCGCAAGACAGAGACTGGGGTCCCAGGTCCCATGCCCAGTGCTTAGGTTGCATCCATCTGCTCCCTGGCCTGCTATAGCAAGGCCCAGTGACTTTTAAGAAGGTCACATACTGCTTTCAGAAAAAGTGGGGCTCCTTCATGAGACACAGTAGGGCTACTACCATGACATGGTGCTGTCCTCACCAGGTTAGGCCACTATGTTCCCCATGGGATATGCGGCTGGTCCTGGTGCTGGCCCATGTCTTGATACATCTTCTCCCAGACTGCTGTATAAACAACTCCAGTATCTTTTAGGTCAAGGGTCAAAAGTATCACAACTTGCATAGCAGATCACATCCAGCTTGGTTATTATCTGGCCAAGTGACCCAGTCGAGGTGTGTTGCTTTTCTTTCTCCTCTGTCACACTTCCTCATTCCAGCAGGTTTTCTGCCAGCTGCCCCTTGTGAGCCCCTGTGATGGCACATGGACACAGACACGATCACCGATTGTGGGGACAATGCACCTTTCCCCTGAGATCTTTCCTGGTTGTTCATTTTGTGAGGTTCAGTTCTCCAGATGCATAAGTGATCCTTATCCACCTCAGTCTGTCATGGGTGAATCATGACAGACCTGGGGCTGGCCTCTCACAAGCCACTTGACCCCCCATAAGAATGACTGCCTGCACTACCATCAATGTGGTCACCCAAGGTGAACATGGCCAGGAGACTTGAACAGGGCAGCTTGAATCAGTCCATGACCAGAGAGGCCCATGGAGGACCAGTCCTGGTCCGTGCAAGACTGGTAGGGGAGGGCCTGTGGCAGCGGGCTTGTCTCTCACCTGGTACCTGGCCTGTGCCCTCTCTTACCCTGGTGCCAAAGTGAGTAGCCATGCCTCTTTTCTGTCATTCTGGAACTTCATTCTACTTTCCCTTGACTCATATTTCCTGGCTGATCCTTCTGTATCCTTTTCCTCTCAGTCTTTCGCCTTCTCCCCTTTTATGGTCAGACCCTCCACCATTGGCCTCCCCTTAACATGTTCTGAGCTGATACGTATCCTTAAGTAGTTCTTGAAAGGGTGCCTGGGTAGCTCAGTCAGTTGAATGTCCAACTCTTGATTTCAGCCCAGGTCATGATCCCAGGGTCATGGGATCAAGCCCCCATCTGGGTCCATGCTGAGTGTGGAGCCTGCTTGAGATATTCTCTCTCTCTCTCTCTCAAAAAATTTTTTAAGGAAAAATAAAATTTATCTCTTCATGGGACTGCTTGCTTCCTCTAAGGAAGGTGGATATAATGTCAGTGGCTGGACCACCTTCACTGCATAGCACCTGCCTGTCACCAGACACTGAGGCCCTTTTGCAGAACTCACAGAGAACTGACACTGAAGAGACACCCAGTAAACACATGGTATATGGAGAGGTGTTCAATCAATAAAAAATACCAGAATGGGGGGCGCCTTGGTGGCTCAGTCGATGGAGCGGCCGACTACAGCTCAGGTCACGATCTCGCGGTTCATGGGTTCAAGCCCCTACGTCAGGCTCTGTGCTGACAGCTCAGAGCCTGGAGCCTGCTTCAGATTCTGTGTCTCCCTCTTTTTCTGCCCCGCTCCTACTCGCACTCTGTCTCTCTCTCAAAAATAAGTAAAACATTAAAAAAAAATTTTTTTTTAATTTTCAGAATGGGAAAAAAAATCCCAAGTACATTGGGAAGATGGGAAGGCCTTCACCTTTGTCTCCATTCTGAGAAAGCAGAAGTACATTCATGTCTTCAAATGTCATGATTGTTGTAATGTGAGAAAGCCTCCAGCCAGAGCTCTATTCCTTTTGAGAATGAGAATGTTTGCCCCTTAGAAAACACTCATTAAGGCAGGGAGTGTGGCCCAGCCTTGAGCAAACTTTTGCATTTCCCCTTGCACCAAAGGAGTCAAGTGCCGAGAACGTGGGCATCTGCATTCAGAGCTCTATTCTTGTTAGCACCAAAAGATTCATGCCAGAGAACAGTTGTACAAATGCAGGAACCACCTGAAAGCTCTCAGGAAAACTGAACCTCTTTCACACAGTCCCCACTGGAGAAAGGCATAAGGAGTGCAGCTGGTGTTGGATAGCCTCCTTGCCCAGATTTAATCAAGTTTTGCAGCAGCAAGTTACTGCGTTGTGAGTGTAGTGAGTAGGAGAGCAAAGCAGCTCCTGCTGGGTCCTGCATAGAAATATTCACACTGGAGAAAGCTCCTGTGTGTACAGCTGGTATGGGAGACTCAGCCACAGCTCCTGCCCACCAACCAGCACAAAACCTTCACTAGTGAAAAGCCATTTTAGGAGCAGTGAATTTAGTAAGGTCTTCAGCTGCCCCCGCTCCCCCCCCCTTTTTTTTTAACATTTTCTTTTAAATTATGTTTTAAAAACTTCATTCAATATAAAAGAATTAACACCTGAAAAATACCGTATACAAATAGCCTTCAGCCACAAGTTGTACCTTGTATAGAAGTTATTTTTTTTTTAATTTTTTTAACGCTTATTTATTTCTGAGAGGGGGGAGGGGCAGAGAGAGAGGGAGACAGAGGATCCAAAGCAGACTCTGCGCTGTGAGCACAGAGCCTGATGTGGGGCTTGAGCCCACAACCATGAGATCATGACCTGAGCTGAAATCAAGAGTCGGCTCTTCAACAGACTGATCCACCTGGCGCCCCAGAACTTCTACCTGCAGAGATTAACTCCACGAATGCCCTGTAGGGGCCCCTATAGGGGCCATACTGTACTTTGTGACCAGCTGTCACACCGCTGGATGCTATGGAAAATGTCCTTCTGTGTTTGATGGTCATCTATTACTCAGTGTAAGCAGCCCCTGTTCCCTGCTTGCCCTCCTCTGGAAGGATGGTGGTGGCCCTGCACCCATTGAAGTGATGTCCTACTGCTCACCCATGACTGAGTTTGGCATGGACATGACTCTTGCTCTGAGCAAGGGGCCTGATAAGATAGTTCCTGGAGGGCTTCTAGGGAAGCTTTCCCATTGTTTATGGACCTTGTGAAATCTGCCTTTGACATCCATGATGTCTTCATTGAGTTTCTCCAGGTACTCATAACATAGTTTATATGCGTTGCTATCATTACCCAGCTCTGGTACTGACTTCAGACTGCTCTGCACCATTTGATACTGAATACATCACCAATTAATTCACCTTTGATATTGGAGTCCTGTTTATCGGGAGTGAATTGGAAACAGAACAGAGTTCTCAGACTGGTTATCAGGTTCCCTATAGCACCTGACAGGGCACAACAGTAAGGCATGGAGCATTTCTGACCAGATGTGACCCAATTTGCATTTCTACCCCATGTTCTCTGACAAAGAATGAAAGCCTCTGTGTTCTGAAGCTTCTCACCTGGAGTTCGCCTGGAAAAGCCAGTCAGCAGTCTGGAAGAAGCAAGATAATGGTCTGTGTTTTAGGAAATGTCTCTTCCACCCAGCAGTGGTGAAAGGAAGCACTCTGAAGGCCAGACCCTGGTAATATATCATCCACTTGTGTTTGTACAAGGATGAATTGAGTACTGTAAATGGGTAAAGAATACTGACTGTGAGGAAATAAGGTGTGGGGAGCCTGGTGAACTGTTTTGATGTCTGGGCCTTTGCAGGATTGAGGTGTGCAGGTGTTGGGGCGCCTGGGTGGCTCAGTCAGTTAAGTGTCTGACTTTGGCTCAGGTCATGATATTGCGGTTTGTGGGTTTGAACCCTGTGTCAGGCTCTGTGCTGACAGCTCAGAGCCTGGAGCTTGCTTCGGATTCTGTGTCTCCTTCTCTCTCTGCCCCTCCCCTGCTCATGCTCTGTCTCTCTCTCTCTCAAAAATTGATAAATATTAAAAAAAAAAAAAAGTGTGCAGGTGTAGCTCTGTATATCTCCCACAGCTGTAGTCAACATATTTTTTATGCATTCCTGTCATCTCTTAGTGGGCTGGATACTTTTGGTCATCACCATGTGGTCAGGAACTCCAGGACTGTGAGAAAGAACAGCCCATAGCCTTTTTGTTAAATGGCTTTATTGAAGTATAATTTACATATTATAGAATATATCCATTATAATTGCATAATTAATGATTTCTAGTAAAATTATAGAGTTGTACAACCATTATTATCTCACCCCATTCCCATTGCCTCAAAATGTGCGGTTGGACACTTTTTTTTTTATTTGTTTAATTTGAGAGAGGGAGAGAGAGAGCATGAGCCGAGGAAGAGCAGAGAGAGAGAGAGAGAGAGTATCCCAAGCAGGCTCCATGCTGTCAGCATAGAACCCCATGTGGGGCTTGAACTCACAAATCCACGAGATCATGACTCAAGCCAAAATCAAGAGTAGGACACCTAACCAAGTGAGCCACGTAGGTGCCCCTGGACACTTATATAGCCAAAACCACTCCCATCCTCAGCCCCTGGCAACCACTAATCCATGTTATATCTCTATACTTTTGCCTTTCCTGATATTTGGTATCAATGGAATCATATAATATATATCCCTTTGTGTGTCATTTCTATCACTTAGCATAATGTTGTTGAGGGTTTTGTTTTTTGTTTTTTTGTTGTTTTTTGTTTGTTTGTTTTTGCTTTTTAAACTTTATTCTGGGGGTGCCTAACTGGCTTAGTCTGTTCTTGAGGTTTATTCATGTTATGTTATATATCAGTATTTTATTCCATTTTATTGCTGAATAATATTCCCTTGTATGGATATACCACATTTTATTTGTCATTAATTGATAGACAACAGTTCTTGGCCATTACAAATAATGCTGCTAGGCATATTTGCTTACAAGTCTTTCTGTAGATGTATGTTTTCTTGCTGCTTGGGTAGATTGTGTAGGGGCTGAGGGCAGGCTGCCCCAAGATGGGCCTCTTCAGCATAAAGATTATTTTGAGTTAGGGGCGCCTGGGTAGCTCAGTCACTTAAGCATCCAACTTTTTATTTCTGCTTGGGTTGTGATCTCATAGTTGGGGAATTCAACTCCCGCATCGGGTTCTGCACTGGCAGCGCAGGGCCTGCTTGGGATTCTCTCTCAGCTTCTCTCTCTCTCTCTCTCTCAAAATAAATAAATTTTTTTTAAGTAATCAAAACCCAGCAGATGCAGGAAAAGCTCTCTGCCTTTCCCACAACTGTCTAATTTACATTGGAAGGAGAGCCTGTAATAGGAAGAGAGCAATTAACAGACACTTCCCTTTGCCTAAGGAATTTATCTGCCTCATAGAGCAAACTTGTGTTTCTAAACATCTTTCACCTTCTTGCTAAAAGCTTTCTCCTTTTCATATCCTCAGACCTCTGCCCCTCTCCTCAGCTCATGTGAGCTTCATGTGCCCCATTGTCTTTGAAATTTCATGTCTGTGGATTCCCTGTATATGCACTCATTAAATATTATTTTCTCCTGTTAATCTGTCTCATGTCCATTTGGTTCTAAGTCCATTTAGAAGGATTATAGAGCAGAGGAAGGTCTTTCTGCCTGACAGTTTCTAGGAGTGGAACTGCTGAGTGAAGTTCACTTTAACTCTTTACTGCCAAAATTTTCCAAAGCGTCTCTACTATTTTATATTCCCACCAGCACTGTAGAACTGTTCCATTTTCTCCACCTTCCTGCCAATACTTGGTGTTGCCATACTAGCGTGAAGTGGTATCTCAATGGATTTTTTAAAATTGTGGTAAAATATACACAAAACTTCTATTTTTTAAGTGTTATTTATTTTGAGAGTGAGAGAAAGTGTGAGTGGGGGAGGGGCAGAGAGAGGAGAGAATCTCAAGCAGATTCTGCACTATCAGTGTGGAGCCCAATTCGGGGCTCAAACCCACAAATCTCGAGATCATGACCTGAGCTGATGTTGGACACTTAACTGACTGAGCCACCCAGGTGCCCCTAAAACTTCTATTATTAGGTGTATAGTCCAATGACATTAAGTAAACACACAGTTCTACAACTATCACTCCTAAACATCTCTCCGACTTTTGCATTATTATAAACTGAAACTCTGTGCCCATCAAATAATAGTCTCAAGGGGATTTTAATGTATATTCTCCTAATGAATAATGATGTCAGGCATCTTTTCTTGTGCTTATTAACTGTTTATCTTCTTTGATAAAATGTCTACTCAAGTCTTTTTGCTCATTTTTACTTGGGTTGTCTTTTTTTTTTCTTTCATTTTTTTGATGGTTTATTCATTTTTCAGAGACAGAGAGACAGAGCATGAGCAGGGGAGGGGCAGAGAGAGAGGGAGACACAGAATCTGAAACAGGCTTCAGGCTCTGAGCTGTCAGCACAGAGCCCGACCTGGGGCCCAGACTCACGGACGGCAAGATCATGACCTGAGCTGAAGTTGGACTCTTAACCAACTGAGCCACCCAGGTGCCCCTACTTGGGTTGTCTTCTTATTGAGTTGTTCAAATTCTTTATATATTCTGTATTAAGACTCCATATATATGTACAGGTGTTTCATCTCGGCCTGTAGCTTGTTTTAATTTTTGTTTAATGTTGATTTATTTTTGAGAGAGAAAGACAGAGCATGAGCAGGGGAGGGACAGAGAGAGAGAGAGGGAGACACAGAATCCAGAGCAGGCTCCAGGCTCTGAGCTATCAGCACAGAGCCTGACATGGGGCTCGAACTCATGAACCGCAAGATCATGACCTGAGCCAAAGTCAGACACTTAACCAACTGAGCCACCTAGGCGCCCCTTGTTTTAATTTTCATAATGACATCTTTTGAAGAGCAATATTTTATTTTTATTTATTTTTTAAATGTAAACTCTATGCCCAACATGGGGCTTGAAGTCACAACCCTGACATCAAGAATAGCATACTCTAGGGGCGCCTGGGTGGCGCAGTCGGTTAAGCGTCCGACTTCAGCCAGGTCACGATCTCGCGGTCCGTGAGTTCGAGCCCCGCGTCGGGCTCTGGGCTGATGGCTCAGAGCCTGGAGCCTGTTTCCGATTCTGTGTCTCCCTCTCTCTCTGCCCCTCCCCTGTTCATGCTCTGTCTCTCTCTGTCCCAAAAATAAATAAACGTTGAAAAAAAAAAATTAAAAAAAAAAAAAAAAAGAATAGCATACTCTACTGACTGAGCCAGCCAGGTGCCCCTTGAAAAGCAATATTTTACATTGTGATGAAGTCTAATTTGTTAGTTTTTCCTTTTATGTTTTATCTTCTGGTTCATATCTAAAAAATCCTTTGCCTAACTCAGTCAAAATTTTTCTCCTATTAGCTTTATAGTTTTAGCTCTTACATTTCCATTTATGGTCCATTCTATGATAACTTTTTAAAAAAATTTTTTTTTAACGTTTATTTATTTTTGAGACAGAGAGAGACAGAGCATGAACAGGGGAGGGGCAGAGAGAGAGGGGGACACAGAATCTGAAACAGGCTCCAGGCTCTGAGCGGTCAGCACAGAGCCCGACACGGGGCTCGAACTCACGGACGGTGAGATCATGACCTGAGCCGAAGTCAGACGCTCAACCGACCCAGCCACCCAGGCGCCCCTATGATAACTTTTTTAATATTTATTTTGAGAGAGAGAGAGAGAAAAAAAACTCAAGTGGGGGAGGAGCAGAGAGAGAGGAAGAGAGAGAATCCCAAGAAGGCTCCATGCTGTCAGCATGGAGCCCTACATGGGGCTTGATCCCACACCTGTGAGATCATGACCTGAGTTGAAATCAAAAGACAGACACTTAACTGAGCAACCCAGGCACCCCTCATATGTCTTCTTTAGTGAAGTGAGTGTTCAAGTCACTGACCATTTTTTTTTTAATTAGGTTGTCTTTTGTAAGTGTTCCTCATAGGTTCTAGATTCACATCCCTTGTTAGGATTTGTTTTGCAGATAGTTCTTCCAGTCTATGGCTTGCATTTTCATTTTGTTGAAGTGACTATTGAGAAGCAAAAGTTTGGGCGCCTGGATGGCTCTGTTGGTTTAAGCTTCCGACTTTGGCTCAGGTCATGATCTCACAGTCGTGGGTTTGAGCCCCATGTTGGGCTCTGTGCTGACAGCTTGGAGCCTGGAGCCTGCTTCAGATACTGTGTCTCCCTGTCTCTGCCCCTCCCCTACTCTCATTCTGTGTTTCTCTCTCTCTCAAAAATAAACATTTAAAAAAAAGAAAAGCAAAAGTTAAAAATTTTTATTAAGTCCAATTGATTTTTTCTTCTCATGCTTTTTGTTATACTTAAGAAATACACTAAATCTGAGGGCTGACCAGAACCTTTTTTTTTTTCAACGTTTTTTATTTATTTTTGGGACAGAGAGAGACAGAGCATGAATGGGGGAGGGGCAGAGAGAGAGGGAGACACAGAATCGGAAACAGGCTCCAGGCTCCAAGCCATCAGCCCAGAGCCTGACGCGGGGCTCGAACTCACGGACCGTGAGATCGTGACCTGGCTGAAGTCAGACGCTCAACCGACTGCGCCACCCAGGCGCCCCTGACCAGAACCTTTTAATACAAGGACCTTTGCCTATAGTTCTCGGGCATTCACTTTCGAATGTCCCCTTTCTGTAAAGAGAGCTTTCCAATGATTCTTCCTCTCTGATCTTATCCTCTAATAAACTTTTGCCTGCTACTAAAAAAAAGAAAAGAAAAGAAATCCACCAAATCCAAGATCACTATGTTTTCTTCTAGATTTTTTATTGTTAATGAGTTTTATGCTTACATCTATGATCAATTTTGAGTTAACTTTTGCATATGACTTGAGGTAAGCTTACAGGTTTGTTGTTGTTACATATGGCAATTCAGTTGTTCTAGCACTATTGGTTGAAAAGATTACCTTTTTCCTATTGAATTGTCTTGGTCTGTTTTGGTACATGGAACCCTAAAGTCCACTTGGTATCTGGTTTCAGGCACTGAGTGGATCTGGGGGCTCAAATGATGTCAGAAGGGCTGCTTCTGACCATCTCTCAATACTTCCTTCTTCTGTGGCTGGTTCAAAGGACAGCCTTCCTGTAGAGTTAAGACGAACATTAGTAGCCCAGTTCATAGGTGCTCAGAGCCATGAAGGCTTTGTTTTAGATGTTCTGGCACATGCACGTGCATGCACACACACAGCTCCACAGACACAGACATGCATACGCATACACACACACACACACACACACACACACACACACACACACAGAGTAGGCCAGCTGCCTTGCACAGAGCCCTGATGGGGAGAGCAAAAGTCAGATTCAGATTGGGACTACTTCACCAAATCAAGGATTCTTTGCCAAAATACTTCGTTTTACAAGACACACACCTAGGTGACCATTCAGGAAAAGGGATTGAGTTCTGATGACAAATGTCTGTCCTATGTTGCTTGCAGGTGTGGGCTCCACATGGCTCAGCTGAACATTAACTCTAATCCCAAGGAGCCCTTCCATGTTGGCAGGAGGCAGTTGTTACACCCAGGAGGGAGAGCCTGAGCAGACCAAGGATCCCTGGGTACTTCATCACGATGGGGAGACTTTGAGCTCCATGTAAATTGGTCCTCTGGGGAGATCAAACTCTCAGAACCAACAGGCCTTTGTTTGCTATGTTCTGGCACCACCAGGGAAATATTGAGGTTCCAATAAGTTGGCTGATGTACAGAGAGCCGTGGTGAGGAGACTAGAAGGCAGGTAAAAGACTTCATTCATGCATTGGGAGCACTGTTATGAGGTCTAACCATAGCTAAAACGTGGGTTCAAGGAGTTGAGCTCTTGATGACCCACGATCCCTTTGCTTGGAAGCCTGAGGCCTCAAGGTTCAAATGGGCTTTAGTTCTAACCCCAAGCCCCCATGTTAATAGAAGGCAATTATTGGGGCACCTGGGTGACTCAGTCGGTTGTGTCTGACTCTTGATTTGGGCTCAGGTCATGATCTCTGCAGTTTGTGAGATTGAGCCCCACATTTGGCTGTGCGCTGACAGCACAGAGCCTGCTTGGGATTCTCTCCCACTCTCTCTGCCCCTCCCTTGCTTGCATATGCTCTGTCTCTCAAAATAAATAAAATAAAACTTAAACAAGAAAACAGAAGGCAATTATTATACCCAGAAGGTCCAGGAGTGCCATACCTTGGGATGTGGGGAGCACTTAGGCAGACCTGCCACATGCCTGGGACCCTGCCATCCCTCATATGGTCAGCTTCAGGGAACTGGAGGATCCTAAGTGGAGTGGCAACAGCAGTACTGTTGCCCCTGCCACATGTTCTCAGGTAAACACTGCACCAAAATCCTTCATGTCTTGGGATCCTGGGGCTCCAGACAGCCCGGTTCGTTTATTTTCTGACACTTGAAAGTATTGAACCAGGAGATATGCAGCCCATATATATCGGTTGCATATATACCTATAAGTTTTGTAAAGAAGCTTTCAACATTTATGAAATCAAAAGGCTTCACATAAACATATGGTTCCCTCACTCCTCTTGGAAAACCAGAAAATGGGGGCAAGCATATATTGATTCCATTATCTCTGACTCCTGTACCCGGGGACAGCCCTGCTTCAGTGGCAGCAAAAAATAGCAGATGATGAAGATCATGGACACTACACTCACCTGGAATATTGGCTGGGCTACAAAAATCCTGAACTACAAGATCTCCCTTTTCTCAGGCCCAGGGTTCCTACCTGTGCAGTAAGGGCCTTGAAGTGACCAGTGCAGGAAGGCTACAGGAATCCACACCACCATTTGCTCAGGCAGTGAGCAACATACCACTGTTATGTCCTTTGTTCTAGAGGATAAGATGAGAATATGCAGGACTTCCTAAGACCTGCAGAGCAGAGTCTCTCCTATGGCCAAAGTCACTGTCAACAAACTTGGCAGACAATCCAAATCAGGTTTTTTTCAATTGCTTTTTGTTTGTTTGTTTTCAAAGAGCTGTTGTTTCTTCATCTTTTGTGGTATAAATTCCACCATGGCTGATTGAACTCAACTAAATGTTGAGTTGAACACAACCAGTTCTTGTGAGTGGGTGTGATGTAGCCCAGGCATAGCACCAGCCATTATCTCCTCTGTTTGCCAGTGTCCCTGACCTCAAAACCAGTGTTTCTGTGCCCACTGAAACAGGTTCTACCTGCCTCCTGAAGATCTTTCGTGCAGTGATACCTACCTACAGATTTTGGACATCAGGGGCCTTACTCCTGGACAGTAGCCCCTCAATTCTACTGGAGAATGTGGGACATTCCCAGGAACAAGGTACCCAACTCGTGCTGCCCAGGAAGTACTGGCGAATGTCCAAAGCTCTGGGTCTTACAGGTTGTCCTGGCATCCAGGACACAAGATTTGACCCAGAGACTTTCAGCCTGTCCCGGAAGCCCTTGGGCCTAGACTGCAATCTATTCCTTGCCATCCCACTGTTCAAGTTGAGGCCTCCCAAAAGACCTTCTCCCTTTTTATCCTGTTAGAGCCCAATTCATTCTCCATTTCCCACACACACAATGGATGGAGTCCCAGTATTAAAGATGGCTTCAATAGTAAGGCCTTTATTACCACACACTCTGGAGGCAGGCAGTTCCAGGGTTGGTTGATTTGGATACTGGACAGTTCCATTGCAGGCACCATCTGTAGACTCAACAATGGCCACAATAAAAGGGAAACTTCTTCTGCAGGTCCTCACACTCCAGGTCAGATCCTCCTGGGGAGAACAAGGTCAGGACTATGCCTGAACCACTAGAGACAGGGCAAAGATGGAAAATGAGGCCACCCCCAAAGAGCTTCCATCACTCATGTCTCCCTCCAGGGAATGAGAGAGCACAAGATCAGCCTTCCCTGAGTATGTTGACATGATAGTTACACGCTGTGGGAAGATCTGCTGGCTGGCAGAAGTGAGATGGCATCTGGCAGTGACGTAATCTGGCAAAGCACCTGGACAGGTTAGAAAGTGTGGTGAAGCTCCTGAAAGCTTCCATGTATCTGGCAATCTCCTGGTAGGGGTATTAGGATATTCAAGTTTCAACTTTTGGCTTATGGCTTCTTTACAAAGGTTCCTTTCACAGAAGTTTTCTTAGGAGTGAATCCTTTTAAGGTGAGCAAGGTGAAAGCCCCAGCTAGTTCGTGGTTTTCCACATTTGCCACGCTCCTAAGTGTTTTCTTTGGTGTGACCTTTCTGGTACTGAGTGAGGCTAGCGCTCTGGCTGAAGGCTTTCCTATGTCCACTGCACTCCAAAGGCTCTTTTCCAATATGACCCTTCTGGTGTTTAGAGAGGTTTGAGCTGTAGTGGAAAGCTTTTTCCGCATTTGTTACACTCGTAAGGCTTTTCTCCAGTGTGAACTCTCTGGTGCTGAGGATGGAGCTTTCACTGAAAGCTTTCCCACACTGACTGCACTCATAAGGCCTTTTTCCAGTGTGAACTTTCTGGTGTTTAACAAGGTTAGAGCTATAGATGAAGGCTTTTCCACATTCACTACACTTATAAGGCCTTTCTCTAGTGTGAACCTTCTCGTGCTGAATGAAGGCAGAGCTTTGACTGAAGGCTTTCCCACATTCCGAACACTCATAAGGCTTTTCTCCAGTGTGAATTCGCTGGTGTGGAACAAGGTTGGAGGGGCAACTGAAGGCTTTCCTGCATTGGTTGCATTTATAAGGTCTTTCTCCATTATGACTCCTTTGGTGCAGAATAAGTTTGGAGGTTTGCCAGAAAGCGTTTCCACATTCACTGCACTCAAAAGGCGTTTCTGTGTTGTGAACTTTCTGGTGCCAAACAAGATGAGAGCTGTTAATGAAGGCTTTCCCACATTCTTTGCACTCATAAGGCCTTTCCCCCGTGTGTATTTTCTCGTGCTCAACAAAATCGGCAACACAGCTAAAGACTCGCCGGCACTGTCTACACTCATAAGGTCTTTGTGTTGTGAACTTTCTGGTGCCGAAAAACATGGAAGCTACGAGTGAAGGCCTTCCCGCGCTAGCCACATCCATAAGGCCGTTCTCCAGTGTGAACTCTCTGGTGCTGAACAAGTGAGTGTTTCCGGTGAAGGCTTTCCCACATTCACTGCAACTGTGATTCATTTTTCCAGTATGAACTTTCTGATGTGTCCTCAGTTTTAAAAGCTGGCTGAAAGCCTTCCCACATTCCTTACACACATGGGATGTTTCTCCATTGTGTTTTTTTTTTGTGATGAACAAAGGTTGAGTCCTCTTTAGGGGCATTTCTTGTTGGCCATCTGAAGGGTCTTTCTTTGGAGTGAGTTATCAGGTGGTCAAGGAGCATAAACGCCTTCAGAAAGGCTCCCCCACAGTTGCTGCACTTGAAGGGCTTCTGTGTGGCATGGACTGCCTGCTGCTGCTGGCAACTGGTGCTGGGTTAGAAGGCCTCCTTGCGTGCGGGGCTTCTGTTCAGCTTCCCCGTAGTGTGAGTGGTCTGATGCTGGAGGAGGTCCTGGCTGCATGTGAAGAGTTTTTCTTCACTGTGCTCCTTCTGGTGCTGGTGAGAGTTTGTACTGAGCCAGAAGCCTCTCCCACATGTCTCACATTTGTATGGCTTCTACCTAGGGTGTATTGCCTGATGCTTAGCCAGGTATAATACGTCTTTCAAGACCAGGCCACACATGTCACAAGTGGGTGGAAGGCCACACATGTCCTTCTGGGTGGAAGGACCTGCCTTAGGGGTTCTGAACTGAAACACTCCTGAAACACACTGTTCAAGAGGGGCTTTTTCATTCCATACCAACAACCTAAAAGCAGAGAAATGCTGGTGAAGTGTATGTAGGCTTTGTTGGGAGGGGGCAGCCCCTTTACAGATGTGGATCTGACAAACTCAGGAATGAGTCTGTAGGATCAAGTCAGGATGAGGTAGAGCTTGTGGTGCAGGACTGGGCCCAGGAGGGCCACCGAAGGTGAACACTCAGCACATGAGAACACAGGGGTGGGGTTCAGGCTGGGAGGAGGGGCAGAGACCGCAACTCCTCAGCTTTCATCAGGACCCAATACAGACAGGCTCCAGATCTCTAGGAAAAGGGGACACAGAGTGGTGAGCATAAGCCCAGGAAAATCCAGCTGCAACCAGGCATCTGGTGCTTAAAGTCTTTATGAGGATATGTGCACATCTCATAATACATTGACTGTGGGCTAATGTGGGACACCCCCATAAAGGGGGGAGTGGAGGGGAATAAGGAAGACACAGAGCAGATCAGTGGAGTCATCCACCACCCAGGGCCCAGGGACAAAGTAGAAATGGCAAGAATGTGGTGTCTAAAATGAAGAAGGAAAGTGGAATAAGGTAGGGCTACTGGCTCCGGCAACAAACACTAGTAGATACAGGGCAGGTGCCGAGTATACCCCAATGTAACCTTTGCTCCAGCTCCCACTCACTAGAGCCAGACCCTGTCCCAGCCTCTTTTGCAGTGTATGGAGATATGTCCACCCTGTCAGGCTCTCAGGGTTCTTTGCCCTGTTCCAGGTGAGCAACCACATAGGAGTTGGAAGTTGCAAGTCCTGGGAAAAAGATAAGGTGGGTAAGTAGCTGGCCCAGCTAAGAGCAGCCCACCCTGAGAACGACCAAAGGGAGATCATGTCATCTTTGCAACTGGGAAGAAAACTCAATGTTACAAAATAAGTCTCTCAGGAGCATCTCACAGTGGTTCCCATGAGTAATAACCACGTCAACTGTCTATAGGCCATGACATGGCCAGGCTTCCGGAAATGTCTGATATTAAAAAAAAGGGAAGGGGCGCCTGGGTGGCTCAGTCGGTTAAGCGTCTGACTTTGGCTCAGGTCATGATCTCACGGTCAGTGAGTTTGGCCCCATGTCGGGCTCTGTGCTGACAGCTTAGAGCCTGGAGCCCATTTCAGATTCTGTGTCTCCCTCTCTCTGCCCCTCCCCTGTTCATGCTCTGTCTCTCTCTGTCTCAAAAATAAATAAACGTTAAAAAAATAATAATAAATAAATAAATAAATAAATAAATAAATAAAATAAAAATTTTTAAAAAAGGGAAGAAGGGGTGCCTGGGTGGCTCAGTTGGTTGAGTGTCTGACTCTTGATTTTGGTTCAGATCATTATCTCTCAGTTTGTGAGATCAAGTCCCATGTCAGGCTGTACACTGACAGTGCGGAGCCTTCTTGGGATTCTCTGTCTCCCTCTCTCTCTGCCCCTCCCTTGCACGCACACTCTCTCTCTCTTTCAAAAATAAATAAATAAACTTAAAAAAATAAAAAGAGGGAAGAACCTGGGCACAGAAGTGCCACTGATCAGGACAAACTTGGGCAGCCAGCCAGACCCTCAGTCCTGAGCCTTTCTCCAGAAAGCTTCAGAAGCAGATATTGGGGCTCCTCAGGGAAAGGAGTAGGCTGTGCTCGTGACCCAGCTCCTCACACACAGCAGATAATCCAGAGGAAGAAGCAATACCCATGCTCAGCTGTGGGAAGACAGAGATGCTCCTGTTAGAAGGGGAAGGACAGAACCTAGAACAGGAAACTAGGAGGATGGGAGGGCCTTACCCAGTGAGGCCACAAGCGCCAAGTTCTCAAGCATTACATCGCAGTACAGATGTCTCTGAGCTTCATCAAGGATCTCCCACTCCTCCCAGGAGAAGTACATGGCCACATCCTCAAAGGTCCCCTAGCCCTGCCATGATGAGGAGGACAGCTAAGTCAACCAGACCAAAGGGCAGCAGAGAAACTAACAACAAAAACAAATACACAGACGAACCCATATAGGCCTAGGCCTGTGACCCCACATGCTGCCACCTTTCTGGTGTTTAGTCTCTGACCCCCAAATCACTCCTGCCAACACACTCCTAGGTCATCCTTCTCCCTAAGCTCCAATGCCATGGCTGCCACTGTCTCCTTGTATCCGACTGATTACGGTGTCCTCCTTCACACAGTAGGCAGGCAGATAAGTTGCCACAAGCTCTGGGCCTAGTATGTGGGGCCCACTGCCTCCTACTAGGCAATTCCCCTGGGTTCCCAGATCCTGCCTCCCAGAACAACCAAACCGTGGCTCATCTCCCATAGGTCCCCGCTACCAGGACTCCCAGTCCATGAACTCATACCCCCTCTGCATGTACACATCCATCTTTGTATCCCACATCTCCAGACCCCACCACCATCCCATGAGCCATTCATCCTCTCAGCCACACTACATATTACTCTGCAAATGGGTGTCCAGAATGTGCCTAACTTGGTAAAGTCAACCAGGATCGCATCCTGAGCCAGACTTCCAAAAGTTCCAACTTCCAGAGGTAGCACCCAGCCTTTCCTTCAGTTTCTACCTTTAACTCTCAGCTACCCAGAGTGGGCCACACAGATCTCTGGGACCTCCAAGTCTCTGCCTTTCTCCATGCTGTCCTCTCACCAACCACAGTATTCCTCTCTCCTCCTGATGCACATTCAAAGCCCAGCTCCACCACCTCCCACCCTAGGCCTGAAACATCCCCAGCTGACTGCCACTGAGCTAATCTGCCATCCTGAATGAAACCCTCAGGCCCCAAAGAGGGTGGCCAAGGAAGGTTGGTGAGCCCACAGAGAAGTGAATAAACATCAGCCCTGGTCCCACTATCATGCTATTTGCATCTCCAGTATGCCTCAGCCTCTGTCCCAGGGACCTTGGTCACTATTTGGACCCTCCTCTCCCACACACACCTTCCCTCATGGCTGTTCCTCCCTTCGTCTGACTTTGTGACATCCACCAACCCTGCCCAGGTACCCAGGCCAGCCACCCAGTCCTCAGCTGCCCCAGTAGGACATCCTTCACCATAAGCTAAAGATGCCCCCTCCCAAATCTGAAACAGCTCCACCTTAGTTCACAGGCTAACTGTTGACTGGATGTCTCCAAGCTGAATTCCTCGGCATAACTTAGACCTGCATGTCCAGCTGCCCTTTCAGTACCTCCACCTGGAAGTCTGCAAGGCATTGCCAGGGTCAAAATCTGCCTCTTGATCTTCCCTGAAACCTGCTTCGCCCAGCAACCTCCCCATCTCAGTCGATGCCCTTCAATTCCATCTTCTCATAGCTGAGGCCAAACTCCATGGTGATATCCCTGGATATCCACATCATAAAATCTGGCTGACTTGAAAGATCCAAATCCAGCCACTTCTCCCAACTCCAGTCACCACTCAAGCCAAGACACCATCACTCACCTGATCCAGTAAAGGTGCATCCTTATGGGCCTCCCTTTCTGCCTCCTCACCTTCACTCCCTACCCCACGTCTGTTTTTCACTCTGCAGCCAAAGGGAGCCTATGAACACCTGAGTCATATCACCTTCCTCCTCTACTCCAAACCTTCCATGACTCACACCACCCTCAGATTACAGACCAAGCTGCTCAGGCTACCGTGTCAGGCCTGACTCTTGTCCACCAGACACGAAGGAAACCTTTCACATCCTGGTCCCTAACCCTGAGACAGCTTTCCACACCTTGTCCCATTGGATTCCAGAATTATGAAACTTTCCACATAACCCCTGGCCAGGACTCAGGACCTCGGGCTTGGGGTAATCCTAGGGTCCTAGCAGCAAAGGAAGAAAGGCGAAGGCGGAGGAGAAGAGTCCAGGGACCCACCACTCCCCTCTATCGTGGGCCCGTGCTATGCGGATGCTGGTCCGGGTCCGCCAGCGCCGCCGCTACCGCCATTGGACCCGGGCAGGCCCTGAGAGGTTGGCCGATGCCCACACCTCCACTGGGCCAGGTGCCCGCCCGCCGCCCGTAGCAATCGGAGCCTCAGAGGGGACGAAACGCGGCAGCCGATCCCATCTTCCTTACTGTCTTCCACGCTGGGTCCCGAGGAGGCGCCTGGAAAGCAGCCCCCGCCCAGAGCTCAGGTCCCCAAGGGCGCTATATAACGACCTGTCAAGAGCAAAATGAACGCCCACAACGGAGGCGCCGGAAGTCCCGTGAGCCGCAGGAAGTCGCTCTCCTTCTGTGATTGGCCCATAGCTCGCCGCCATTCCCCTTGGCCTTCTGGTTAGTGTAGTTTCAGCCTCGCATTGGCCTGGAGTGGGGCGCGGACAAATTCTCCGTGGGCAACGCCCAAGTGGCAGCGGAGGGGCACTGGGAAATGGAATCCGAGATTAAGAATGGTAATGGTGTGTCATAGCTTCCTTTTAAAGAGGTCATTCTCGATTTCCTCCCTCAGAGATGTCCCGCCCGTGACCTGCATTCTGAACATGGAGGGACCAGCACTGTGAAGGGGCCCCTGGGAACACCTCTTCTGCATTTTCTGAGGATGTAAAATGAAGATAATACCTCCTTCATGGAGAGTTTTAGTAACATTAAATGTGTCTTTAATTCAGTGGTCCCCAGATCAGTAGCATCAGCATCACTGGGGAACTTGCTAGAAATGCAAGTTCTTGTCCCTTCTCCAACCCCTCATCAGAAATTCTGGGACAAGCCTAAACATTCTGTGCTTTGACAATCCCTCTTGGGTATCCTCACCCAGAATAAGTTCTAACTCAAAATCCAGTGGTGAAAGTTGGAAAATACTACAACTTTCCTCATGAGAAGTGACATGAAAAGTGCTTAGCACAGGGCCAGGTACATGGTGCTGTGACACTTAGTAAAGGGAAACCTCACTAAAATGGAGTGCAAGGGAAAGCTCTCACTTGGTACCACTGGAAGTCAAGAATTGCCGACAGAAGAATCTTCAACAGGAAAGAATCATCAATTCCAGGCCCCAACAAGTAAAGATGTACATTGGATCTCCTAGTAGAAATCAACTGCCCCTGCAACTCAACCAATGAGAAACTGTCATCACCCTGAATTCTTTTCTCCAATGGACTTTCTTTCAAAACAGCCCCTCCCACCTTCCTCCTTCCTCTTATAAAATAACATTCCTCTCCTTTGTTAGACTTGCCTAAGGTTTTGCTGTAGCTTGCATGTTCAGAATTGCAATTCTCTGCTAATCCCAAATAAACCCATTTTTGCTGGCAAAGTAACTATTTTATTTATTTATTTTTAAGTAACTTTTGTTTTTAAGATTGACGCTACTAAATAAATGAGAGAGCTATTGTTGTTATTGTTCTTATCATCATCATCATCATCATCGTCCCAAGGCTTTCATAGCACTGCCAGGGGAAGGCAAATTGGAGATGCTTCTCAAGAGAATCGTTGTTGACATCTGTCAAAGTATAAAATGCACTCTTCCTTCATTTAGCAAATAGCCATATAGGCAATGTTCAAAAAATTTTTAAGTATGTTCATGTATTGTGGTAGGCAGAATATACTGACCCCAAAGATGTACAGGTCTTAATTTCCAGAACATGTAAATATGTTATATTACATGGCAAAGGGGAACTTAAATGGTATATGGAATTAAGATTAATAATCAGCTGACCTTTGGGACACCTGGGTGGCTCAGTTGGTTTAATGTCCAACTCTTGATCTCGGTTCAGGTCATGTTCTCACTGTTCCTGGGATTCAGCCTGGCATCCAGCTCTGCTCTGTGCTGACATTGTGATGCCTGCTTGAAATTCTCTCTCTTTCCCTTTCTCCCTGCTCCTCCCCTACTTATGCTCTGACATTGAGATATGGAGATTATTCTGTATTATCTGAGGTGAGGGAGGGGTGGGCGGACAATATAATAGCAAAGGTCTTTAAAAGTGGAATAGAGAGGCAGTAGAGATTGAGAGAGTCAAGAGTGCTGCAATGTGAGAAAGATTCAAGTTGCCACTACTGGCTTTGAAGGTGGAAAGAGCCATGAACCAACACATGCTCCTCTGAGCCTGGAATAGGCAAAGGAACAGCCACCAACCCATCACCCTTGAACACTTCCAGCCAGACCTTTCTCAAGAAAACCAGATCTCTGAGTCTTGCCCACATCACCTCTCCACTCAGATATCTTCCAGGCAACTCAGACACAATCCCAACTCCTGCTTTTCCTCTGGAATCTGCTCCTCTTTCCCCTTTCCCATTTCTATGGAGGGCAGTTCCATTCTTTCAACTGCTCAGTCTAAAAGCCTGGAGTCCTTCTGGACCTCCCGTCTCTTTCTCACCCCTCTTTGATCCATCAGCAAATACAGCTGACTCTGCCTGAAGAAGAGATTCAAAATCTGACTACTTCTCCCACATCTTTTGCGACCACCACCCTAGTCCAGGCTGCTGCCTGGACTACCATCGCTGGCCTCCTTGGTTGCAGTTGCCTTCTTCCTGTGTCCCCAACCACCTCCACCTTCATCTGTCACCCTATCACTTCTCCACATGGAAGCTAAAGTTATACTTGCCAATTTAGATCAGGTCCCTCTTCTATTCACACATCTTCTCAGTTCCCAGGTCCCTCAGGATAAAGGCCTAGTATGAGCCCTTTTCCTTGGAAGCTTTCTGGTAGAAGTAAAGGTCTTGAAGTTTCCCCAATGATCTCCTCTCTGGGTCGCCTCCAAGCCTTTGCACATGCAGGTATCTCTGCTTGGAACAGCTTCCGTGCTTCATTCCATGCGCACACTCTACTGTCCCAACCTGGGGGGATAAAAATGACCCCAGGCCGGGGGCGCCTGGGTGGCGCAGTCGGTTGAGCGTCCGACTTCAGCCAGGTCATGATCTCGTGCTCCATGAGTTCAAGACCCGCGTCGGGCTCTGGGCTGATAGCTCAGAGCCTGGAGCCTGTTTCCGATTCTGTGTCTCCCTCTCTCTCTGCCCCTCCCCCGTTCATGCTCTGTCTCTCTCTGTCCCAGAAATAAATAAACGTTGAAAAAAAAAAATTAAAAAAAAAAAAAATGACCCCAGGCCGGACATCCTCAGTTTCGCGACTTGGACACTGGGGCTTGAGTCTGGCCAGGCAAAAGCTTAAGAAACTTTCACCTACCCGTGCAGAGTCCACCAGCGCTGCCTCGGACGGGGACCCGGACTGGGACCCGGCACAACGGACCCAATGTGGTCTCGGCGTCAGGTCCTCTGACAACACCGCTGACGAGCCTCAGACGCGTTGCCGCTTGGTCGCGGTCATGGTGACACGACATGGCGCGGGGGGTGGGGGGCCGGACTGCGGTCCCCGCGGAAGTAGGATTTGCGATGTGAACTACACTCCCCAGAAGGCGCTGGCACTGTGCGGGGCGTACCCGAGTGTACCGCTCTGGGCAAGGGCGGGACATCCGACGTCGCCTTGAGGTTTTTCTTTGGCTGGTTGTGCGCCTGTGCGAAAAAAGGCCTCGATCCCTGGTTTGAGGACGCGTTTAGGAAACTCTAGGGCGCCACCGTCCAGGGTCTGGGGTGCGCCAAGTGGGGAAGGTGTGGGGCTCCTTTTTGCGCCTTTGCGCCTACGGGCGATGCCTGCGAGCGATCGTCCCCGCCTCCTCGGGCCTCGGCGTTGACGGAAATAGAATGGGCGGCCCTGTGGGGCGTCCGCCGAGACCGCCGCAAGAGCTTCCCAGTAAGGGCCTTGAGCGTGTTTCCACCATAATGCGCGAGAGACCGAGGTTCCGAGGGCCTGCCCGCAGCCCAGGGTCCTCCAGTCGTGCCGGGGGACTGAGGGCGGAGGAGGTGCTGTTCCAGCGGGCCACTCCCAACGGGTGCGCGCGCGCCCTCTTCCTCCCCGGCCCCCCACGGGTTGGCATGGGACCAGCGCCGCTACCGATGTCTTTGGCGAGTGAAGGGTCCACTTGCCGAAGCCGGGCAGTCCTACCCCCAAGTTCCTGGAGCCCCAGCGTTAGCGGATGAGTGTGCCTTGGGATTCCTGCCGCTTTCATTTCCTTGTCTGGGATGATGGGAGTCACTTTCATTTTGTGCCTTCGTGCTCCAGATTACTGGTCAGTATGCTGGCCAAAAGGGGGGTGGGGTGGGGCCTGAAAGGGTTTTTCACGCGTGGGGACAGAGATGTGCGGAGACTTGTTTGTAAGCGTCAGCCAAGCCATCGGGAACCGCAAATCCTTCTTAAATCTTGTGAGAAAAGAGCCTCATAGGACAATTTAGGCTTCAATTTAGGCCTTCTTTAGGGAGACTAATTGCTGGCCCTTTATTCTTACTCTGCTGTTAACTGGTTTCTTTGCCTAGTGTGTGAACAGACTAAGGGGCCAGGGCAAAAGCAGGGAGGCCAGGGAGGAGCCTTCATCAACAGTCCAGGCATGTAATGATGCCCTAGGCCAGAGTGGCAGCCTTAGGTCACACTTAGGAGGTGCCAGTCCTGAGGTGGACAAATTGTGGGAGCATGTGATGGGGAAGGGCCCAGGGAAGTTCTGCACACTGCTGAGGCTCCAGAGTGAGACTGCGGGCCTTGTAGGTATGCTAGTATAGAATGATGGTTCAATCTACTGCAAGTGCAGGGGCCAGGATGTGTTATCCACAGTGACAGTGCAGCTAGAGTGGGTCTTGAAGGACTGTCTTGTGGTGGAGCAGGAAGGACACACCTGGTAAAGGATTAAGACAAAGGCAGAGGTATAAGAGAGCCAGAAGTGTTTGGGAATCCAGGTGTTTGTAGCTGAGAGATGGAGCAGAGGACAGTGACAGGCGGGAAGGCTTTGAACAAAGGGCCAAGGGCAGCCCCTAGGTCTGGGTGCCACTGGAGATTTTGTTGCAAGATGAGGTTGAAATTGGATCCTGGCTGTTATTTCCAGGGTCACTAGCTGCCATGAGCCGAATGGCCTGGGGAGCCTTGAGACAGAGGGCGGATCCAAGGGCATAGCCCTTGGATAGAAGAGGACCTAAAGGTGTAAGAAAGGAGCGGTCACAACTGATGAGTCTGTCTAGGGGAGGCAGAACATTGGGGAGGAGAGCTTGGTGCTGGGGTCCTAGGGGGGAGGTTGAACCTGGGGCTTATTGTGGTCATAAGTCACATTGTGGTGAATGCCCAGGGAACCATCTGGAAATAGAACATGAACAGATTGGGTGATGTCTATCTGCCCTCCTGCTTCATGATGCAATGGCTCCAAAGCAGTGGCCAGTGGGTGTTGGGAGAAGGAGAAGGCACTGATGTTGGCAGACTAGTGTCCCCTCAGAAATGGAGGCCTGGGGAAGAGGGTAAGCTGAAGGTAGTTAGTATGTCTGGGAGGTGTTATAGGGGAGAGGTTGCCAGGGAGAGGGCAAGATGCCCTGGGTTTTAGGCCCAGGGCTTGAAGATGTCCACTCATTGCCCTGCAGGATCATCTCTTCCTCACTGCGAGGCCTGGTGACCTTCAAGGGTGTGGCCATGTACCTCTCTTGGGAGGAGTGGAGGCTCTTCATAGTCCCAGAGAATCCTGTACTGGAACATGATATTGGGTGACGTCACACCCATGGCCTTACCAAGTAAAGCTCCTGCCTTTCTTTATGTGTTCTTTTTCAGAATTGTTGGCACCCAGGTTGGGCTGTGGGCACTTGCTTGTGCTCTCCCTGAGCCACTCCACCTTTGCTGACCCAGGCTTGTGGTGGCCTGGGGAGAAGAGTCAAAGTTCTCTCCATCTTTCCAATAAGCCCTTTGGGTTTGGCTCCATGACAAGGTCTCTCTGTGTGCCATGGATTCGCGGTCTTTCTCTAGCAGATACTTCCTTAAAACTGCCAGTGCCAGTCTCTAAGGGTCCTGTCATTGTTTACAAGGGCTACTGAGTTATTCCTGAAAAACCCTCCTGAAAATTTCATTTTTTTCTTTCTTTATGGTTTTTTTTTTTAATGTCCATTTATTTCGAGAGAGAGAGAGAGAGAGAGAGCGAGTGTGAGTGGGGGAGGGGCAGAGAGAGAGGGAGACACAGAATCCAAAGGAGGCTCCTAGCTCTGAGCTGTCAGCACAGAGCCTGATGTGGGACCAAACACACAAACTGTGAGTGAAATCATGACCTGAGCCAAAGTCGGCCACTCAACCGACTGAGCCACCCAGGCTCCCCGTGTTTGTTTATTTTTGAGAGAGAGAGAGAGAGGAAGCAGGGGAGGGGCAGAGAAAGAGAATGGGATAGAAGATTCAAAGCAGGCTCCGTGCTGATAGCAAGAGAGCCCGATGCAGGGCTTGAACTCACGAACCATGAGATCATGACC